GAAGAAAATTTTCTTCAAAAATGAAGTGTAATTTTTACAAACAAACATAACATTCTGAATTTGAATAAACAACTGGCTTTGCAAAACAATGTTACGTAATTAGAATCATGATGATCATCAGTTTTATAAGAAACGTCACAGTTATCAATGTGTTATTGTCCTTGGTGAAAATAACATATTTGCCCTTTTTTTAAAAAGTGTGTGGAGTTTATTGTATTTTATATTAACTAACAATATTGAAACCATTATTGAATCAGATAAGCATAATATTATAGTACAATGACATCTTTGTTGGTGTTACTACTGTTCTGTAATAGCGAAACTATTTCAAACATGACAGTTTACAAAGCTCTGGCATCTGTATGTGGTGTAGTAAACCAAAGATAACTGTAAGGGTCACTGTTTTTTTTTCATTGATGTGTGTGGATTATGTAATATATGTTTCAAACATTAAGTAAAAAATATAGCTTGGTTTATGTAACATATGAAGCAATGTGTAATCTCCCTTTCCTTCTGAAATCAGCAGTTAGTGAATAGCCTGAAGGATAAAGGTATGAGCTCTCTTAAGGATTTGGTGTTTTTGCGGGTCTGTTGATGTCATTTTAGGTATATCTTCATTGTCTACAGAGAAATTGCAAGATTCTTAATATTTTCTTTTTCAATTACACAAAAAGTCTATAATTTTTAAATATTAAGCTATGCCTTACAAATGAACATCGAATGACTCTCATTTTGACCTACAGTTCAATCCATCCCAAACAGCATTAAAAAATATATCCCATAATTCTTAAGACTTTACAGTGTGTGTGTGTATCAAAAATGATTAGTTGATCTTTTATCTTTTTTTTTTTCAATTTGTTTACAAGTATGCCATATTAATATAAACTAACACACACACATGCATTATAATGTAAACTTTTATGTACATTATATTGTAAATTATATTCAACCAGTATTATCTTTCTGGTTGTCAAATACAGGTTTTCCTATAACATGTTTTCAAAAAAATATCAAACTATAAAGTTATACAATTTGAAAATAGTGTTATTTCTTCTCAGGTGTTAATCACTACATTCAGTTATGGACTTTATCACTATATTACAACATGTATAATGATCTTGATTATATTACAACAGTATTGAAGATTCACCACCACATCATTACAGTTCATGTTGCCACGTCCATTCATACTGTATCTCTTGACCATACATTTCGTCAATAGCTCTACAACATAGTTTTCATTGCTGAAGACTGTTGTAAGGCCATTACGTTCAAAGTACACCCTTTCAGCTTTCCATAACCCGTCTAGTGTATGAGATGATAGTTTCCTTGTGCCATTTCAAAAACCTAGCACACAGAAATCCACAGGCTTTGCATCTGATGACTTGATCAATATTCCCTTGTATGGAATGGTTTGAATATCCATTTCATGCTCTCGCTACTTGAAGTATACAACAATTTTATTGATATATCATGGAAGCAACTTGTGTACATCTATCTTATATCACTTTTCCAAATGGAAATCCTTCTTGTTTATATTGCACAAGCTGAAGTACCCATCTTTTGTCTGGGTTATGAACTTAAAAAAGTGGTAATGGATGCTATGATAAATAACACAAAAATCCTAACTTTCACACAATTTATTTGTAACATCACATATTATTACAGTATTCATTATTATCTCCCTCCCAAAGCTTTGTATAAGCTTTATGAACTATATATATATATATATATATATACTTAAAACTATATACACCAGTGCAATAGTCAAGGTGACTTTTTAGGAAAAGGTAGTGGCAGTAGGGATACTTTCAATTACCTGCTTTCAATACCCAGCTCTTAATATCCTTTCACACTGTTTCATGTTATTAATTAATTGATAGTCATTACCCAAAGAAGTGTCTTATGGGCTGAAGTTGAAAGGTCACTGGTCAAAATAGGAATTTGATATAACTCAAGAAATGGCTCTTCATATTAGCCTTGTGGTGGCTGTTGGAGTAGAAACTTCACCTGAGTTTATGTATTATTGCAATAGTGGCTGCCACTGTTTTCTCATTGCATTCCTCCATAGAGAGTGTTAGTGCACTCTCTTAAGATATGACATTTGTGTGCCCTCCCCTACACTGTATGTTGTATAATAGAAGATTTTAATAAATTTTTTTTTGGGGGGGGGTGTATGTGTGTAAGGATGCAGCACCATCTATGAATGTAGTTAACATTAATTTACAGTCAACGATAATAAATGCTCAATAATAGCAGCAATAATGGGAGGTTGAGGGGGTTAAGCCCCCCCCCCCATTAACATGCCCCTTGTTACAAACTCATTCCACAAAGTTTGGTTGAGATTGGACCTGATTTGGATATTTTAGGTAAAATTTGAATGATAAAGGCTGACATTGAGTTGTCTTTTTTAATAGTTTAGTGGATTGGACAACCTAGATGAACCATTAGGCCCCTTGCTGTCCTTAAATGTTATGTTAAAATTGTACACATTTGAAATGCTTGAATACAGCCATTTTATTTTAATATGTTTTTAATATAACTGAATTCATTAAGAGAAGAGCATCACTTTTGAAGTGTTCTTCCCTGTGCATGTTTATTTGTTGTTTTTTTTTGACAAAAGTAACATTTATTTCAAAAATGGAATGGTTTTCCTCCTCAATTTGTTTTTAGCATTTCTTGGGGAATACTTACAGCTAATCCTCTGTAGAATGTGACTTTGTGTTTCAATCCTTCTCACTGATTACAGCATTCTGGGACATTACATGCATCAGCTTTATATTATTTGTTTGATAGCTTCTCAGTAGAATTAATCCTACCATTCTAAATCAATTTAAGAGGCATGCCTCACTTTTCAGCTTATTATTCTATCCTTTTCGCACTAACCTTTCCACTGTGAAATTACAGTGTCTAGTAATATCGAAAGGAATACTCTAGACTTAAAATAAGGTTGACAAGAATAATTATCTCTCCTTCACTTAATGATGTAATAACCGACATCTCAAAAATCATTATTGAATTATAATGTAGGTCAGATGAATCTATATTATTGTTTATAAGGTGTAAATTATCACATGCAAGTGATGACTCTTATAGCAAATGATTTGCACATGATGTTAAAATTTATTTTTGAGCAGTTGTTCAGAGAGTTAAGTTTAAAATGTTAATCGTTGGTGGAGAGAATACCACAAGAAGTTTTATCATTTTACACACAACAGAGAGATTGCTTTTAGAAAAGTAGTTTACATTATCTTGGTACAAGTCATTTGTAAGATTACATGTTATTTATAATGGTTTTTATTTCTTTTTCCTTGTAAGATATGTACCTAAAGCTTATTATATATGAGTGTTTTGGATTCCTTCTGAAAGGTTCCAAACTTTGTTGAAGACGTCACTGCCTACTGAAAACTCATGGCCACTAATTTTGCAGGCAATGAAAATTTACATTCAGAATTAACCAATAGTTCATATCGTATTCCTCTGTCAACTGTGACATCAAATTTGTGGTTTGACGTGAACAGGTCCAATGCTAACCAAGATCTGAAGGCTATGGAATCTAATTTGGTCTTTAATCTTAGGACACTGAATGAAACTCAAGAACTGAGTACCACTGAATCAAATGCATGTTTTAACTTGAGTAGAACCAATGCTAACCAAGAACTAAAGGCAGACTTGTATCTTAATATCAACAGATCTGAAGCTAAACAAGAGCTGAGGGATCAGTTTCTGCAGAACATTCCTCTAACCCCAGAGAAATCTCAGGAACAAAAGAAAAAAACATCATTCCAAATAACAAGTGTGACAGTTCAAAGGGCCAAGCTCAGCACTGATCCTTCAGATGATTTTCATCAGCAAAATTTAGAGGTTTTAAACAGTTCAAAAAGCATGGATGTGGATAATGACCTGTCTTCCGAGGACACAACAAGTGACAGCAGTAGTAGTAGTATCAGTACTAGTAGCAATGATTGTAGTATTAGCCCTAGTACAACTAGCAGTAATGTAACAGAGTTACAGTTTCTCACTAGTCCATCCATTCCAATAAAATCTGAACCTCTGGGAATGAACTCCATGGGAAATATTGTTAATTCAAAAATAATGGTTACTATTCCTGTTGATGCTGTAGCTTTATCTGAAAATATATTACAACCAGAAATGAATCAACAAGCATTATCATTAATAACAACTTCCACCACACCTAGTGTAACCAGTCAAGTTCCCATAACCCCACTGTCTCAACAAATGCAAAGTCGATTCAAAGTTGTGAAGTTAGTAAGTAATGAGCCCTTTAAACGAGGACGTTGGACTTGTACTGACTTTAATGATCCACCAACAGTACAGCATGATGAGACCAAGTATGAAATGTCTACTGAACAAAACAATAGTACAGTAATATCTAGTTCTAGTGGCTTAACAAATGCTTTAATTAGTGAACATGGAATTGATTATTTTAGTAACTCTTCCCATTTTTATGTAAGCCAGACCTATCCACCACTGCCTACTGAAGATCTACCTGCAACTGTAAGTGGCCACGAAGACTCTCGGCCAGTATACAGAATTATTCTTCCAGTTGGTGATGCACCACAAATGTCTTCAGTGAGTGTGATTCCATCTCATGGAGTCCAGACAGTGCATACTGTAGAAGGTGATTACTCTCAAACCAACTCTTTCCCAGATCACCTACAGCAGATTCAAGCAGTTCCTATGTCTGAACCACTACAGTCTGTCTCTCAAGAGCCTGTCCTATCTCAGTCTACCAAGAATCTTTCAGACATTGTATGTAGTATACTGACAAAAGAGCTTTCACAAATTCAGCAATCAGATGTTTCTGAATCTACTGAGCAGACAATAACAATGCAATTACAGCAGCAGGAGTCCAGAAACACTATTGAAGTTCCTTCAAACTCTCAAAATGTTAATTCCCCAGATCTACACTCAGGGTATGCAGCTACTAATCAAACCCCAGTGTGTCATAATACTGACAGACCTGGAAAAGTCTTCACTGCAACTGCACCTCTTCTTGAAGTTTTACCAAAAACCCTTGGAGTAAAGTCTGTTGTTGAAGAAGAAGAAGAAAAAGAAAGGTTTGTTTCTGCTTTCACTATTTTGTTTCTTCTGACTTACTACTTTCAAGTACTTAAATTTTTTACCATTATAATGTAGTCATAAGAGCTTTCGTGCAGAAATCTCGTACTAAACATATTATTACTGAAATTAACAAATATTTTTTTTATACTCGTTAATTAGCCTGGTTCATAATTTTTATTAACATAGGACCAAACAACCACAGCTTACAGTTGAAAATTATTTTCATAGAAAGCTATGGATAATTGTGTCAAGGGTAATATTTGGTATAATATGGTTACAAAAAAAATTACCACCACCTGTATCAGATATGAAAATGTTCACCAGGAAAATGTCATTCAAATAATTTATAAAACAAACTAAGGAAGTCTTTGTAATACTGATGATGAAATTAATATATAAATATCACATATTTTAATAGTAATAATTTCTGCACACATTCTTGTTATATGTTTCAACAGCCATCTAGCCTGTAAATATTCTGGATTTTAAAAAAAGTATTGACACTCAACGTAGTTTTAGGTTTAGTCAACATATGACTTTATTCTAGTTATACTACTCCTAGTCTTTTATTGCCCTAAATTACCTTTATAGAATTATGACAGTTGTACTTTAAAATTGATAATTTTGATGATATCGCACGTGAATGAACATGTAAATGTATAATTTTTAACTTTTTAAGCATGTACGGAAAAAAAATTAAAAGGAATTTTATATCAGTTATTATGCAATTACTTTTTTTTGTAAGCAAATAAATATTTATCATTGTTTTCTATCTTGGACATCATGTTTTTTTTTTATTTCAAATGTAGTTTTTTGTCAGTATAATAACATGGTAACATTTAGTTATTTAAAAAGAGACATGGATAATTAAACCAAAACAAAAACATCATTAATGTAGCCATGTAATTTTAATAATGTCCAAAAATTGATGTAAATTTTTATATTTTGCTTTGGGTATTGGTGATAAAATCTGTAAAATTCCAAAATGTTTATCTGTGTCCCTTTTTGAATATATAATGTTGTTTATCATGAGTGTCATAATCCTTTTTATTACCAAACTTCAGTTACTAATGTGTAACATTTTGGATATATTGAAGCATTATATGTTATTTTACAGTTTCTTATACATATTTTTATAGAAGAATATGATGTTTCTAATCATATCTTGTTATGTACAATTAGCAAAACAGTCTTTTGGCACTGGGGAAATTCCTGATGATTTCCAACATGGTCCTTATTTTTAAAGACAAAGGATCAATGAAGGGTCTGGTAAATTATAAACTAGTTGGTTTGACTTAATTGTTTGCAAGGTGTTAGGGTTAACCACCCAAAGTAATGCAGTAAAGCATTTCTCATATAAATTAAATTAATGATTTTTCAGTTTGGCTTTTTTTATAAAGGGTTTTCTTGTGTTACCAAATTATGAAAATTTTCTGTTATAGAAACAAGAAATGAATTTGTAAAAATTTAAATGTAATATTTTTTTAGACAATAATACTTCCAAGTTCTTATTATACTAAGGTGTTGGCAAGTGCTAATTGTATTTAGAGCATTTCTCTTACTTGACAGTCTTACTGTTGAGGCAAAAATGCAAAACTTTGTTTCAGTGTAGGGAAGGGTAAAGTTTTTTTTTTTTTTGTGGGGTTTTTAAAGCAAATAT